AGATAAAGCTGTTCTGCTGATGTAATAGAGGAGAAACACATGTCTATCAATCAAATCAGTTACATGTAAAGCAACAGCGATTAAATAGAGGGTAATAAATCTATTGGAAACCACAAATGATGCTGTCTTCAGTGAAGAATACACTATCGAAAAAGTACTTATCCATTAGGTAAGGTGGCAAGCCTGCTGGAATACTCACAATTTGCATGTTTAAAAATCACGAGTCCGGACTCAAATTGCCAAAAATCTAGCCTTTAATAAAATGGAAGATTTAAGGTTTTTCTTATTTAATTTCTAGAAGTGTTAGTATTTGTTGTCCCAATTGATAAGCTTTGTTGTAAAATAGTAAGAATTACAAAACTTTTTTCCAAGATCACCTGAGATTATCAAAAAAAAAATAGTATGATGTCCATAGCAAGGGCTCTGAGTCAAGTATGAACTATCAAAAAAACCCTAGTGGTAACACTGAGGAAGTCACAACATTATCTTTTCCCTCTTTTCTTTCAGAAAAGCATCTGGGAGACCTGGTAAACAACAAGTTGAACACCAGTCAGTAACGCACCCATCCAACAAAGATGGCCAACAGCCTCCTGGGCTGTCTAGGAAGAGCAATTCAAAAATTCCCCAGTTCAAAAGAAACATGGACATACTTGAGCGAGACCAGCAACACGCCACAAAGACGATTAAGAGATTGGAGCACCTGTCATAGAAGGATAGGTTAAGAGAGCTGAGACTGTTTAGCCTCAAGAAGAGATGTTTCAAGAGTGATCTTATCAACGTGTATCAATACTTTATGAGAACAAGAATAGAAGATGGCACCAGACTCTTCAGTGGTATCCCATGAAAGGAGAAGAGGCCATGGGTACAAACTGAAATACAGAAAATTTCATCTGAAATTAAGAAAAATCTTTTTCCCTGCAAGGGTGGTCAAACACAGGTACAGGTTGCTCAGAGAGACGGCAGAGTCTTCGTCTTTATGATGTTCAAAACCCAGTTGGACTCGGCCCTGAGCAACCTGCTGTAGTTAATGCTGCTTTGAGCAGAGGATTGGACTAGCAGATCTCCAGCGGCACCTTCCAACCGCAACTATTCAGTGATTCTATTGTTCTTCACTGCCTAAAACTGAACTCAATTTTTTCACCTTCCATATTTGAAAGCAAATCTGTAGGGAGCTTTCCCTCCAAATTCCTTAACATCCCATTGGTTCTATCACTACTGGATATGATTTAAAGAGGTCAGAAATAAGAAAAAAAAAGTCTTTTTTGAAAGAAATATATGTGAAAACTTTGGCAACTGCAGTACAGAAAGGATGTAAAGCCTGTTACATAAGGGATGGACCTCAAAAACACCCACACTACAGAGTCCAAAGACTCATTAATGCCAGGCTATAGGAGAGAGATCCATTTTTAGCAGAAGGGCAGAGCCAAAAGAGGTCAACTAGATAGCAACAAACTTATTTTAAAGCCCACTTGGTTAAAGAGAGCAGTGAAGCTACAAAGTTCCACCTGTTTTGTCCTCCTAGAGACTCCCTTTAGAGCCAGGCCAAACTTTGTTCTAGAACCAGAGGGGGGTATTTTGAGATCTGGGCTTTCCCATGATAGAGGAACATTTTTTTAAAAAAAACAAATGAAAAAAAAACCCAGTTCTTTACCTGGGATTACACACCATGATATATCATGTTTGTGTCAGCTCTGCCTTCAATTCAACAAACCAGCACAAATTGCATCAAAGATCAACATGTGCCATTTGACCATAAGCCACAAAGGGTTCAGTTCTGTCAAGGTTTAAATCAAGGCTGAAGAGCTGATGTTCTGAAGATTTGTGAGCACGGCATGCATAGAGCCTGCATTCTGATTCAGTCAAAATTAATTAGACCTTTCAGGCAACCTCTTTCTACTCCCGTGTATACAACACTTATGGAAACATTTATCTCCTTTCCTTGACAGAGTGATGAGGTCATGGAAAACCAATGTTCCTCAAGGTTCTTCAAGTGGCTGTACCACACCAGCTTGGAATAAAAGAAAATTCTGAAAACTTTACTGACAGGAGTTCCTGCAGCCTTGGCAGAGGCGTATCATCTCAGAAAAGAAGTCCATCAGTGTGTTTGTAATATTCAAGACATACCAGAGCTTTAAAATAAAAGGTAATCTCCTCTTTGAAAGGAAGAAATGCTCCCTCTTGGATCACTATGTAGATGCCACTCTGCAAATTATTACCTCCCCAATTGCTACTTAGTCTTCATAGCAATATTCAGTCTACGTCAGCAGTTCCAGCTCAAGGATCGTAACCCATTCCTATAATTGAGGGAAGGTGTCTTTTCTGAGGCTGTCCAAATGTGAGGTCTGTGTGAGGAGCCATTGATCCTCAACACCATCCTCCTGGAGAGAACTGTGTGAGGAAATCACTACAAAGTAGGTACGATTGTTTGCTTCCCTTTCTCCCTCTTTGCATAGAAGAAAGGTGATCAAAGCCACATGATTTCGTTTTACACCACATTTTCCAGCTCCCCAGAATCAAACTCGATAGCAAGGATATATTGTGAACCCATGATTGGTTCAGTGTAATTTGGACTGATGCATCTAAAACTAAAAAGACGACTTGGCCAAATGAATTTCTGATAAATAATTCAATCAGGTGTAGAGGGGCAAGGGCCATTTCTTCTGTGGAGGACACAATGCCAGGAGTCACAACTCTTTCTCAGTGCTTGAGAGTCCATAATTAGCATAGCCCAACAGTGACGACTATCATTTTACATTAAAAATTCCACCATTTGAGAACTAAAACTGCAGATTATTTTGCGAAGCATGGTCAAGATAAATCTTATTATTTAAAACAAATCTTTGTAAGTATTGACAAATGTAATAAAATTTCAAACATGAAAGCAAAAGGGAAATTTTTACATTTCAATTCCAGCATTGTAAAGGAAACTCTTTCATGCTTAACATTCAAACTCAGCGTGTCAAGTAATTTCACTGTTACAGACTTGAATTACCTGCATTGGCCTGAAGGCATTATTCACTTTCTGAGAAAAATTGTACTTTAATATTGCTATGATTTTCCCAAGTAATTTTTATGCAGAAGCTGGGATGAATTTGAAACATTCATTTCAAGATTAAAGTGACAACATTTGGTGTCTGCAGAGAACCATGTAATTGAGAATTGGGCTTAGGGATGTGCCCAAAATTAAATATAAGAATGAGAAAACAGTATTAATAAAAGGACCAATGCTTTGCTTTCTTTGCTTAACTTCTGGGATGCAGATATTAAACAGGGTTATAAAATACAAATAAACCCCTACTTCAAAAATGTTGAGATGCATATACTATATTGAATGCTTACGCTATATGGACAGACCACAAAATTGTTGGCCACCATCCCAGCCCATTTAGTAATTTCTGTCACATGCGGGAGGAAAGATAATCTTCCCTTTCGGTTTTAACGGATCCGTTTTTGGAAGCACTCAATTATCAATCTCTTTTAGGGGTTATCTGCTGCCTGATCATTTGTTAACTTCATATGAAGTTGGGGGCTGGACCCAGAGCATGCTCTGAAGAGGCTTAACTCCACAACAGAGTCTGAGGAGAACTAAGGAGTTCCATCATTGACCTAGATAGGGCAATAATTTAATGTACAAATAAATGTCCGTGCCCAAAAGTGTTTATCAAAAACCTTTCAGCAGCATGCTTCCAGGTGAAACTCTGGATGAACTGGTTCTCTTGTGAGCATATGGCTTTGAAGAAATGTGCAGACAGAAAAACTGATGCTTTCATATAACGGATTCTACCAGTAAAATAGGGTAACAGGGAGTACCCAAATTTTTATTATTTAAATAGTTTATTGCAGGACAGTAGATGAAAAATTTTACAATGTTAAAAAGTAGTAGGACTTGTTAAAGAAAGCAAGTGAACAGATTCATTATTTTCTTGAAGACTTCCCAGATTAGCTGTCTTCTTATTTGTATCAAGGTGAGGCCTGAGGCCACTTCATTACAAAATCAACCATAAATGTTGGTGTCTTGACTCACTACTTTCAAGGTAATTAGTTGTTTTGATAGCAAATTTTCTTTAACTCTCTAAGAATCTCATTACCAGGTTTTTCATTATAGTAAAACATTGATTAACTAAGTATAATGAGGTTTAGGAGTAAAAGCTGAGCATTGAGAGACTTTATCTTGTAACTGCTAGAGGCTAGGGGAACATGAAATGGGAGGTTTTAATAACTGAAGTGGGGACAATGCAGGTTCACGTGTCTATTAGCTCCTATGCATTGAATCCAACGTCATCCTTAAACTCTTGCTTTGTAAGCCAATAAAGGCTGAAAACATCACTGAGGACAAGAAACAGCAACTACTTTGATGAATGAAATATGAAAAATTAGCCATGACAGAAGTTAATTAGTTTCCTCTCGTATCTGCAATGGTTTTGCCCAAGATGCAGTCTTGTTGGGAAAGAATAGCATTGTAAAGCAGGGAGAAGGCATCCAAAAAAAAAAACAACCCACGCCTCCTTTGAGAATTAAAGGCCTCCTTCCAGAACTACTACCCTGATTTTTAACAGACACTAGGAAGATTTACCAATGACTAGTCTTCTAAACACCCAGTAAGAAATCAACCAGTAAACTCAGCAACAGGGGAAATCTACCACATAACCTAGGCATACTGTGCTGCTGCTCACTGCAATAGGAGAAATTTAAAGCTACAAGAAGAAACTGTGATCTAGCTGTGATCCACTCTCTACTGAAGCCAATACAAACATTTCAGTTCTCTAAATTGTGTATTAGATTCCAGTCACTAAAGAGGCCAGTAGCAACCAAACTATTCCAGCCACTAAAGAACCAATAGTAACCACACTATTATACTGCAGGATAAAATAAAACAGTACAGTGTCAAAATTTACAATTGTGACAATATATCGTAACATCAGCTGAAATGAACTCAGTGCGTTTTCTCCTTTAGGTAAATTATTTCAATGTTTTGATTTTTCTGCTAAGCTTTTACTTACCTGAATAAAGATTTATTTTTGTTGTTCTTCCTCTTCTGCTACTGAAATGCAGCCCTGATGATTCTATCGCTAAGTGGTTGAGTTGGTCTGAAGTTATCTCCTAGGATTCCATCACAGCCCTCTAAAAGTTCAGCACCTTTAACATGTGTCCTCAGTCTACGAAATTCCTCTATCTGAAAGGCAGAAAAACAGACATGAAGAACCTGACATTCTTCACTATGGGACTAATGATCCGAATCAGCCTCGTCTAGACACTTCTGCAGCTTTTAAACTTGGAGTGTTCAGGTACCATATACTAAGGTCAATATACATCATCAATAACATTTTCAAATAGTTGACAGTACTGTCAAAACATTTAACATACAGAGAAAAATAAGAATTTTCATGCACATGGTTTGGCAAACTTATCCTTTGCTTTTTCATAACTTGTTTTGGGATCTATAACCTTCTTAGCCATTGTAGATTACATCCTATGAATCAACCTCACAGTTGTGACATGAGAGTAATCATTCTGGTCTTCTTCAAAGACATGCATTTCAGGAATAACTTGGTTGACTATAAATTGTTTTGAATTTCTTCCAGTGATTTATTTATTGCCTGAAATTGTTGACTCATTTACATAAAAATTATTTTCTAAATCAGGAGAATTCTAAACAGACTCTCAGCTTTAGAGGAAGTCTGTTAACATTTTATATGGAAAAACATGTTTTTTCCAATCAAAACAAAATATTACTTCAAAAGTTCTCTAGATGTTGATGCTAAATGTACTTAGAAAATCAAATATAGTCAAAAATCAATATAAAACATTTCAATTGGTCCAAACCAAATATGTTTCCAGTTTATGGACTCTTTTTAGATTTTTCTAAATCTAATCTGGTGTA